AGCGTTGACAGCGTTGAGCGTAGCGATGAGGACCCGTCGACCCGAGCGGACTGCCTGCGAGGCATCGAGAAAGCACTGGCAAGCCTTGGTGTGAGCACTGAGGGGGAGCCTTTGGCAGTGGCTGTGCAGAAGGCCGTAGTGGGGGCTGCTGTCCATTCGAAAGACTTGGTATTGGCTTTTTCTATTTTGCAATGTTGTCTTTTTCATATGGAGTCGTATCATCGTCTAAAGATTGAGTTCAATGCGCTTTCTCAGTTATTTCCACTAATTTGCCTCGGCTTCCAGGAACGCGTGGTGTGTAGTGAATTTTCTTCCATGTTGAGTGTTAATACGCTTCTAACAGATATTTCTGTATTATGTGGAGAAATTCTATCTTTTTCCATTATTCCTGGTGAAACTTATGGATGTGATACTTTTTGTCGTAATGTTAATTCTGCTGTTATTTTGGTTGAGAAAACTCGTGTAAAATGGCAGAAATTCTTGGCAGAGCGTAAGGCCATTCATGACACGGCTGCGCGGTTAGCTTTACATTTACGTAGCTCTAAGCATTCTGTCGAACCTCTGCTTTCTCAACAGGCAAGCGTGGTTGATATTTTGGTGGTCTCTCTTTCACGCATAGTTTACTTAGAGGAAAATGTTGCATTTGCCATGGAAAGATTCTATAACCCTACCTTTGGTATTAGCGCTATCGAACAGCCGGCGTCGGATCTCGAGACTCATTTAAGACAGCAGCTTAACAATTCAGAGAAAGAATGTAAAAATCAGCAGAAGCACATTATTGAACTAGAAAATCAGTTATGCTTAATATCTAATTTTTTGAGCAATCTCGCAGCCTCTTTAATGCCTTCTATTAATATTGAGAAGAATCTGGAAACATGTCTTCCAATGCTACTTTTTGCAGCCGCAGAAAAGGTGAAATGTGTGGAAAGGCTCCAGAAGGATCTGTTATCTATGCAAGTGGAGCGTGATAAGTACATCACGGAAGGCCATATAGGGAAAACACGGATAAATGAGCTGGAGGCGGCAGTACGTGAGGGTTCTTTTGTCGTGGAAGATCTTAAACAGGAGCTTATAGTTCAGCAAAGGCAGTCAGAATCTCTTAGTGTTGCCTTAAAACGTATTGCACAATTCCTTGATATCCCCTTTGAGGAGGGCGTAGTGGTTGTAAGTGATCTTTTAGCTACCGCCGCGTGCGCCAAGATAGATAAAATATATCAGGATATGGAGGAGTTGAAGGAGTCCGTGAATAACACATCAGCTGTACCCCTACGCGAGCTTGAAGCAAACCAAGAGGTGTTAAAGCAACTTAAAGATCAACGGCAGCAGTTAACCGATTCTGAAAAGGGGTTATTGCAGCGTATTCGGCAGCTTCTCAATGTGCATAGTGATATTTTCAAGGACGATTTTAGAACGATCACCACTTTGGAAGGCGTTGGCGACGCTTTGCAGTGCTGCTTTGAAAAAATCGAGGCCTTTGAATGCGACCGAAAGCGAAGTCGAGAGCGGATCGACGCCTTTGAGGAGAAAAATAAGCGCCTCGCGGAAGAAATCACCGCCAAAGACGATAAACTAAGTGAGAAAACCGAACAGAACCGGAACCTCTTGCAGAAGCTTCAGGAGCTTTGTGCGGCGCGCGAATTCAGTAGCGACGATGGCCAAAATCACAAAATTGCCTTCCAACACGTTCAAAAGCAGCTCAGGGCGCTTCTCGAGCAGGCCTGCGAGAGGGTGGAGGAGCTGTGGGGGCAGCTGCCGGTGCTGCATAATGATACCGTTTACGACAGCATTGAGGGGATTCGTTATCTTATCACCTTTATCAGCCAAAAGTTTGTGGAATTGCCCTCCCGAGAGGAGCTTGAGCACCTTCAGCAGAGCTTGAAAACCGCCGGTGATTGCACCTCTTTCGAGAGCACGCAAAAGGGCCAAATGCAGGCGGCCTATGTCGAGGGGATTCTCCCATTTTTGAACACGCAGGAGCTTCTGGATGGTGCGGCGGTGGATTCACTGACGTTAACGCCCGCGTTGATAACGCGCACGGGCCGCCAGCTCAGCCGCGCCGCGGGGCATTTACAAAAAGGCCTCAACGCCCTCGGGACTCTCCCGCCGGGTCTTCGGCCCATCGCGACGGGGGAATCCCCCCTCCACCCCTCGAATAGCCTCGTGGAGGGGGCGGAAAGGCTCGCCGCGACCGCCGCGGAGTTTTTCAGCCACTTCGCGAACGCGGAGGAGGTCTTCCAGATCTTAAGTATCCTTGCGGGGGTTCCGATTATTTCGCTAGCCGCGGATTCGCGCGAGTGGGAGCGGTGGACCTCTCGCATCCGTGCGTTGCTTTGCGAGGGTCAGCGAAGCGCCGAGGCCCTCGCGAGCTCGGAGGCCGCCCTGGCGGAATTCATCCAGACCGTCGTCGCACTTGTTTGCGAATACGGCGGGCAACTTCCCCCGATTTCCATGACGGAACGCTCTTCTTTGATTTCGTTTTCCCCCGAGAAAGATCGCGAGCGCGTCGTCGAGGCCTTGTCGAGCCTCTTGGACGAAATGCAGGAGCGCGAGGGGGGGGCGGTTGAGAAATTGCAGGCGGCCTCGCAGACCCTCCGGCAGGTGGAGGAGGAGCAGCGGGAGGCCGAAGACGTCATTTTGGAGTTACGTCGGCGTGTTCAACAAAAGACCCTTGAGGATGACTTCCTGGAAGCGAACCTCCGTGCGTTTGACGATGCCCTTGCGATGCAATCTCAGGAGCTTGCCATGCGGTATCAAAAAGATCAGGATATCATCCTGCGGAGGTTCTCTGAGATGCGGGATAAGGTTCGCCGCATTCTTCATCGTTCCTCGGTATCCCGGCATTCCCATTCCCATTCCCATTCCCAGAGAATGAATGCTATGCGTTGACGTGTCGTTCAGGTTGACCTCGCCCTCATCAAAAGGGATGCCGTGTGGACGAAGGTCCAAACATATAATCTTAACGACTGTTGTCGACTATCAAGTTTATTTATCGATTTATTTTTATTGTAATTTCCATAGTTTCATCTTGTTGTTGTTGAGTTTGATGGACATTAAACACAATCGATACTTCCGAAGATTCTGATAATCAAGAATGACTTTAAAGGCTTGTGAGCGAGCTGGAATGAAAAGATATAGACAAATATTTTCGCAATAGACAGGATGATTAATTCAAGCAATTTCCTCCTGATTAGAATAGAAATAATCCCTTTTTTGTTGTCGTCGTTGCCACTAAAAAGAGTTATATTGCTTAAAGCGTAATTTTAATAACAACCAAGGCCTAATCGCGCGGATGGATCTCCCGAGGCCACACCAAGTTAGTAAAGTAATGCGAATCCAAATACACCCTATATTTTCTCCATTCAATTTTTCAAAGAGGTTTGGTATTGATCTAGAACCCAATTTTAAGAAGGGTAGAGTATTTCTCTAGCATCATCCTGCACCAAGTTCCTTTATTATTTAAACTACTTTCCATATTGTTCATTTTTTTATCCTTCATTCATCCGTTTCCTTCGACCCCTTCGCATCTGGGCAACAAGCGCGCACGTTACAAAGAGAAGGTGAGTCCATTTATTAGGTGTGTAATCCACTTTATTGGGCTTTATTCTACCTTTTTTTGGGGGTGGGGGTTATCGACTGGATTGGGGATTATTCGACCGGATTCGGATCTGCCGAAGGCATGGATCCCCCATCCCACAAACCGTCTTGTTGTCCGAGCAAGTGGTTTTTCCCCGAGGAGAGTGAGGGGTGGGAGCTGCGGGAGGAGGCCGTGCCCGACCCCCGCGACCGCCCCCTCCGCGAGGCGCTCTTTTCCATCGGCAACGGCCACCTCGGCGTGCGGGGGTACCCGGAGGAGTCCACCCTGAGCCTGCACTCGACGGTCAACCGGAACGGGGACCCCGGGCCCGGCTTCGCGGCCCC